AGTACCAGATTTTTTTTTTGGTGGGGGGAGACACTGGGGATTGAATTCACTTGGGCACTTGACCACTGACCCCACATCCCCAGCCCTATTTTATATTTTATTTAGAGACAGGGTCTCACTGAGTTGCTTAGCATCTTACTTTTGCTGAGGCTGTTTTTTTTTTTTAATATTTATTTTTTAGGTGTAGATGGACACAACACAATGCCTTTATTTTTATGTGGTGCTGAGGATCGAACCCGGGCCCCACCAGTGCTAGGCAAGCACTCTACTGCTGAGCCACAATGCTAGCTGAGGCTGGCTTTGAACTCGAGATCTTCCTCTCTCAGCCTCCTGAGATCCTGGGATTACAAGTGTGCACTACCACGACCAGTTAAGACCAACATTTTAAAGAATTCAAGTTTATTCATAATACCCTATGTCTTTTTGTGTTTCTAAAATTAAATTTAATGTAAATTAGTCCCAAATAACAAATATCTTAAAAATTATCATTATATTTAAATGGATTCATAATCACTATTCTTGAAAACTTCCCTTTCCTGCTACAGGAATCATTGCTATGTACCCAAACATGTACCACATTTGTGTATATGTGTGTATGTACACTTTTTATGAAGTCTGTGACATTCAAAGAGAAAAAGACTCTTTAAGTAGAAAGAAATCAAAAGCAAAATCCCAGTTAAGGCCTGACTTATACAGAGGACTCTTAGAAACATACCCAAAAAATGTGAAAAACCTTGGTGAAGAGCTCATGAATCATTAACAGATTAAGGTGAATTAGTTCCACTGACCTGTTTTTCTCTTAACATCTAGATGAGATCTGTTGCATGCTAAGGGAATGAAAGATTAAGATAGGAAATGGGGACAAGGGTAAATTTCAGGCAGAGACTACACTTAAAACTTCTGAAGTAAGCCAGGTTTAGAAGGAGTGTAGCTTGAAGGTATAGTGGCCTGGGAGAAAGGTGCAAAGAAAGCCAAAAATAGAATTTGGCTTAGGAAAGGATGAGATTCCAGGAAATGAATTCACACTTCTATCCTAGTCCTACAACCCAGAACTCAAGCTAAAATGATTGAATTTCATGGGTTACTTAATGTTGCAGGAATGGCCTGGGTACTAATTCCTATGTATGTTTCAAGGTCCAAAAGTTTTACCTAGGCATACTTATTAGTAAGCATGCAATAATATTTTAAATCAAGATACTTTGAATTAAATACATGGTTTCTAATGAATTAATGATTCTTTGGGAAACTTTGATTCTTTAGCTGGGAAAAAAGCCTTAAAGATCCTCACCCTTATGATTGGATAAAAATATTTAATGGGCAAGTTTAAATGCATTTGTTGAATTTTTAAAAAGTAAATCTTATTTATTTTGCTACTAGATGATCACAGCATTAATTTAATACCTATAAGCAAATACTAGCATTTCATATAATGCCTACAAATTCTTCAATCAACCAACAGTCAAACCATTCAACAGGTATTAAAAGCACTCTGGAGATACGTTTCATAGGCAATATATATAAATTTTGCCACCTTTTTACAAGTTTCTCTGTAAAAATTAACATAACATGCAAATTGACATGCAGTCTCATAAACACAAAGTATTGAGAAATGACAAACTATTTGAAAGCTTAATGGTATGTTTTAGCTGTGAGAATTCTCACAAGATGAGGATTAATATTTTTTCCCAGCATCAACTTCTGAAATTTCCCACTTGTTCCATTATTAATTTTAAGGGAGTACATTATACTATTGTATGAGTTATTGAACATGTCAGTTCAGAAAAGAAATTTGCATTTAGTATAATAACTGTACTATTCTTCTTTCTACTACTGAAAAGAAAGGAAGAATCAGGTAAGACATAAATTCAAAGCAAAGGTGCTAGCAACCTTATATTACGTGCTCAAGTGGGTTTTATTTATTCTGCAATACATTTAATATTACATATTTGCATAGACAAGATGATTACACATTAGCATGATCCTAAACTGTTTGTAAAATGGTCACTTCTTTGAAAGTAACATATATGATGGTTATGTGGTATCCAGAACACAGCTTCATATTGAAAGGTAAATCTTACAGAGATTCTCTTTCCGAAAATGCATATGAACAACAACAACAAACACTACAGGCTTATTATAACTGAATACATAAGACGTAAGTTTTAGGACAGAGTCTAAGTCAACAGACTCAAAAACCCAACATACTTCTGTTTCTATCCAAGAGTATCCAAGAGTCTCTTACTTTAAAATTTGAAGTTCAAACAATGAATTCTTCAAAGGTTTCCCTGACCTTATAATTTCTTCAAAGTACCCAGAGTGCAAACCCCCAAAATCTTAATAAGTCAGTATGTTCTTAAAGTGTGATTACAAGAAAATATCTAATGCTTTAACTGATTCTCTAAATAATAACAAGAACAAAAAAAATCTACTAACTCTCCAACAGTAAGGTGGATGTTTTTGATGTAATTTTAGTTTAGCTAAAATTATGCAACTGTATTAATAATTTTTTTAAAATAACAAAGTATTTATTAGATGTATTTGATTATACAGACATATAAGTGCACTTAATCACCTGTATCTGCTATAGTAGTCCTAAGGATTTTTGTCATCTGAATTACAACCATAAATTACAGAATGAAATAAAAATCTACAGTACCTCCGTGTTTTATTATTACTGTTATTAATGATGAATTAATGTATAAAAAGAGACCACCACAGCCAGGAAAAACAAAGTATTTTCAAAAGGGATGGCAAACTAGCTTTAGTGAAAGATGGTAAATTTTTTTTTAAATCTTCCAAAGTTTCCTTAAAATTTTCTTTCAAGACCATGTTCTTTCAAGATAAAGTTCCAATATCTAATACCCCAAACAGAAATAAGGAAGGCTGACCTTGCAGCCAGTCATTTAGAAATTCTCAACTCTATCCTTATTTGCATATTAGCCCCATTTGTCCTATCCAGACAAAATAACCTCTTAAACTTAATGAAAGAACAATTTTAAATGTCTCAAATGATATAAACATGAAAGAAAAAAGGATATACCTTGAATCTAAGACACACTTTTACTGGAACTCAGATTGGATTGGAAGCAGCTCTTCAGGTCTTCAGGGAGAGAGCCTCCATCCAAAACAGAAAACAAGTCCTCTGCATTCTCTCTCCAATATTTCTTAAAACCCACTGATAATCACAAAAAGTCATAATTGGGAATGTAATACCAAGATAGTTTTCACAAAGTGAAAATCTAAGAAAGTAATTCACTGTATGTACACTTTTCTAACTAAGACACTTTGTATGTGACTGATCTATTTTAAATTCGGTTCCTCTGTTCCTATGCAATCTAATATTCTCTATTAAAACTGCCAAAATATTTTTAAACAAGATCTGAAAACTTCCCTCTCAGCTTCTGATCTTTGCACTCCTTAAGAGTTGCCAGACACGTCACAGGCAAACCAAATGGCAAGTGACAAGTTACTCCAAATCGGCTTTCTCAGATGAAACTGAAAATTAACGGTCACCCCAAAATTTCCCAAGCCTCTGGAATCTTAGGGAACTAGGGGTAATTATATGCAAATCCAGGATTACTCCAAATCACCTGCTGCAAGACTTGGTCTGCACAATCCACATATGCAAATTTTAAATCCGGCTATACTTTTCTACAAGATCTTGCAACTTAAGTGTCGTTTCACATCTTGTGAACCCCAAGATTGCAGATCACAAATATTTGATATTACTTCAGTATTTCTCACTGATAAAGTCAAAACACCTCTCCATCCAAGACTTCTACGCCCCGCATCGTTTGCAGATTCCTTACTCGGCTTTAGGGGCACATTGAGTCTTTCCAATGCCTGCACTTCGGTGCCAAGTTTCTGAAAGCCTCATCCAAACGAAACTCTCCTTCCGCTTTTAAAAAAGAAAACTACCTTCGGAAGAAGGGAATACCCAGGGAAAAAATTAAGACACTAAGTGCAGCACTTTTGTAAAGTAAACAAACAAAAAAGAGACTGCCCCCCGGCGAAGGCGGCTTGAAACTCTGGGGCCGGCGCGCGCACCCACGACGCACCACCCCACACCGACCCACGATGCCCGAGGGCACCGCGAGACGACCCAGGCCCGGTTAGGAGAGTGGACACATGCCCAAGCTTCCTTGCCTCGGTGGGAAAACGCACCAGTCGGGGCTGCTGCCGCGTTCGCCCACCCCGCATCCCTGCACAGCGTTCCTCAGGATCGCCCACTCAAGCCCGAGGCCGCCTCTCCTTCCGGCGGCGGACGCACAGGGCCAGCTCCCCCAGGACGCCCGCCCTGCGGCCGAACGACCGCGAACGCGTCCCGCACCCGGCCGACCCGAGTTGCGGACGTCGGCTGGGGTACGTACTTGGCCCGCAGCTGCAGCAGTCTTGGCGCGCTCTCCCCGGTGGACAGCTCAGCCCCAACTCCGAAGAGGCAGCCCCCGGCTCTCCCTCAGGCGGCTGCAGCGGCCGGGACGCCCCCGCTCCCATAGAGGGGGGGAAGGGAAGGTGGTGGGCGCGCTCTCCCTGCTCCCCCCCCCGGCTCGGGCCCGCCGCTGCTGCCCGCCCGCCCGCCCCGACGGCGCTCGCTCCGCCGCGGTGGCGGTGGCGGCGGCTCCTCCGGGCTCGAACGCGCGGGCGGCGGCGGCGGCGCCTCCCCCGCCCTCCCCTCGCGCGCTGCACCCTCCCCCTCCCCCGCCCGCCTCCGCCGCCGCCTCCACCCCCCCGCGCGCTGTCACATTGGGAGATTCCGCTCTTGCTACATTCGCCGCTCCGGCTCCCGCCCACGCGCGGCCGAGTGACGCAGATCCAGGCGTGGGCCGCCGCGGGGCGGGGGCGGGGGCGACGGCCGCAGGGGCCGGGACTCGGCCTCTTCCCACCGCCCCCCTCCGCAGAATCCGGAGGGCGGCCCATTCACAGGGCAGCTGGGAGGAACCAAGTGGGCGCCCGGGAGGGGGCGGCTCCCGCCAGTCCCGCTCTGGGCAGTGGCGGGAGGGGGGAGTTGTGGAGAAGGAGGGGGACGGGGGCGGTGAGAAGGAGGGGACGCCGCCTCGGGCCTGCTCTCCAGCTGCGGAGTGGAGCAGAAGGTTTGCGATTCTTTAAAAAATATATATTTTTTTAAGTGTGAGATTCCCAATATAGTATTTCAAAGAGCGTACCCCGCCAAATCAACATCCCCCAGGAGGCAGACTTAAAAAAAATAGCGCGCCCCGCCCACACATCTGGGCGCCGGGCTCGCCCCGCCCCCCTCTGGCTTGCAGGGGAGGTGGGCTGGACAGGTGGGCCAGGTGAGGCAGTGGGCCTGGGTGTTCTGCGGGAAGTTGGCCGCGACGGCGTGGAGGAGGAGAGGCGGCAGGTGCGCGGAGTTGGAAGATCCCGTAGTTTTGAACGAATCTCTGCCTCGCCCTTCTTGTCCCCTCTCCATCACCGCCCTGGCGTTGGGAGAGAAGGGGGAGGGGAGGAAAGGGAACCACCAAGCCAGAGGTGCGGTTAGACAACTGTCTTGTCCGGTAACTTTAATTCCAACCTTCTCACCTCCTGAAAACCTGCTATTTTACTGGTTAACGTTTTTTTGTTTTTGTTTTTTTATTACCATAGTGTGGGAAAAAAGAAGGTTCGGTTCTGTCTTGGAGTGTGTCAAAATAGAGTTCCTAAGGCACAATACAGAATTTTTGAGTTTGTTTTGCATAAACTTATTTAGCCAAAGGAAATACTCAAGCACCTCCAAAAATGTACTTGAGCTATTGCTAAAATATTTAGAAAACTTTTTAAGTCTTATTTTCCTTTTTTTTCCCCAAAAGAATGGAAAAGTGAAAGATTTCAAGTTTTAATGTATTCTTGAAGGATTGAGAGCCCTAGTTAATACAAAAGAACTGCCATACAGGTAGAATCCAGTTTCGACATACATATTAAGAATCCAGTTTTATATAGGAGGCATTTTCCACATCCTGGCTGGCCTCCCAGAGTATGCCTACTTTGCTGATGGGGATACAAGGCATTCTTTGAGATGGGAAATTCTTCAAACCACATCTTTATGTTGCAGTGATGGATAGGATGATGATAATATTGAAAGAAAAAGACCTTATTAAAGTACAGAACCTGTTGTTTTTTTTTAAAACCTGCAAAAATAAAAATGAGTAATGTCATAATGGAATATATATCATTAAAGTTAAATTTCTTCACGTTAGTGACAGGATCTGTCTGGAGTGTTTGAATTGTTATTTCAAATTAGTAAACCTGCTTGCTTCCTCAATTTCTTCTTTAACTGAAGAAATCACTGCTGAACATTTCTCTTTGTTTTTATAATCGTGAGAGTTTTTTTTCTTTTCTTTTTCCCTGCTGTAGATCCTGTTCTGCTAAAGAGAAAGTTAACTTAGGTTTTTATGGTACAATAAAGACTAGGCAATTTCTTAGCTGGTTGGGAAAGGTAGAGGTTAATGAATGTTCAGGCAATGAAATCTGCAGAATTCTTCTAATTCCTCTCTGGAATCCTGATGATTTGCAAACATTGTTGCTTCTGAACAGCTAGAGAAAAAGACCTTTCTTCAGTAAAGATGTACAATTAGTGATTAATGAGTCATGAAATGAGTGGTCTTACCTGCACTGTTGAGCCTTCCACTGGAATTGTTTCCAGAGTTGGAAGAAACGACATTAAATCCAACCTTGAATATGTCTGGCTGAACTTGATGCTGAAAGGAAATGTGTTGGGGCAGATACTCTTTCCTCTGACTTGCAACTGGTTGTTTCAACACTGAAATCTTTCCTTGTTTGTTTTCTGGGCACATTTAGATAGTGTATTCTTCCCACATTAAGAATGGCATTTTGGGCCCACTTTGCTTTGCTTAAATGCCCTGTGGTGCTGGGGGAGTTGGTGGGAGGAAGGAAAATGAAGAAAATATAAAATTTTAAGGTTTTAGGCATCCAGTTCTGTCTGTATGACAACACTAGTCAACATGATTGCTCCAAAGAATCAAGTCATTCACCTGCATATGAGACAATTTGGATGAAGCACTAATTCTTACTTTGGACCTTGCCACTTTTTATCATCCCTAAACACCACCTTCCCCACTCCAACACACGTAGTCTTCCCCCTTCTCAGGCCCTAGTGATTTGTTAAGGAAGATGGAAAAGGTTCACATTCATTCTGTAAGGTAACAATTACATTATGGTGCCTGATTCAATGAAGGCCAATGGTAGAAAGATTTCAGGGTTTTAGAATTTTCTTGGAAGCATTTCTGGACAGGTGAAAGAGAATATGGTAACAAATATAGTTCTTACTCAGACCATTTGGGTATCTTTTGTTAAACATTCATGCAATGGTTTTGGTTACTCCTGATTTGATTTTAAACTGTAAATACCTGTATAAGTTATTCATTTATCCAGTACAGCTTGTTGAGTTCCAGTTAAGTGCTAGGCTTAAGGTTGGGTTTTGGGGACAAAAAGACACATCATGGTTCTCTGTTCCTAGGGCTATAAAACAGTGACAATAAAGAAGACAAAAGGAAATATAAAAGGCAAAGGAAAATGCTCTGTTTCTTTTTACTGCTTTTATTGTTTTTTTCATATAATACTTATTTTAACTAAAGAATAAGATAATGTTCTTCTCATAAAACTCCTTTAAGTTGAAATCACAATAAAATAAATTTTCTTAAAAATGGAAACATCGCACACATTTCATGCTACATTTCAATAAAAACCTAAAGGACACTGGAATGAAATTTCTAAAAGGGTAGGTGATTTTATCTATTATGTTATTTTATTCATTGCTGTTATCTCCAATGTCTAAAGCAGTAGCTGACACATAGTAGTCAATAAATGTTTGTTGAATAACTGAACAAAATGGACAACATGAATTGCCTAGCAAATGGAGTTTTTGTATTTTTTTTTATGTTCTTGGTATGAATTATATTTCCTAATAGAAGTCTCTAAAATGTGTGGTACATCTACTTCTTACTAAATATATAACATTTCCAATAAAGTTCTGAGAATAGAGTATGTTCAAAAGCAGTATATAAATTGCAGTTTTGCTTTTAGAATATTACTAAAGTAATTCACTTTATGTTTCAAGCACAGATTTATTTTTTTATAATTTAGAAAGGGTAAATCAGTATACCAAGTTTTCAATTTTAACTCCACTTGAGATGTGACCTAAGGAATATATCAAATTATTTGTCATCTGTTATTAATGTATGTTTATTCCTAGGAACACCATTTGGGAATATTATCCCAGGTTTAATTTATTATCTGTAAAGGCAAGGTAATACATAGTTCCTTCTGATGGCTTAAACAAATATTACTAGTACAGTTTTAAATTTTGAAACTAGATTTTTAAACATTGGAAGGCCTTTTCCCAGGTTATGGTAGGTTTTGTTTTCACCGTATAGATATGGATTTAGGAGAAGCTTATTTTACAGTTTTGTTTCTAATTTAAACCAATACTGTAGAATGTGTCATGGTGTACAACCAAATATGATATTATTTATTCTCTCAGAAAACCAAATTTTCCCTCTTGAATTTAAAAATTGGAGTGAAAGAATAATATTTTTTTAGACCTTCTGAATGAGAGTTGAAATTGATAAGAAAATATAATGTGTTCCATTGAAAATAGACAATCAGTGCATATAATACACCTTTAAAAACAAGACTGGTCAATATTAAATGAACAGTGCTCCTTCTTTTTTCTTCTAATGGCCCTCCCAAAGCATGGGAAACATGCTGAGATGATTCAAGATAGAAATGGATGGTGGCATTAAATAGCACTAGATCACATACTGAGCAAGTTATTCCCTTTTAAGTTCTGTTTCAATCCTTCTAAAGGAAGAAATATAGTTGGTGCCAGTATGTCTCTAATCCCTCTAACACGTACTGAATTCTTCTTTTTTAAAACAGGGAGAACAAGCTTCTGCTCAAGGCTTCAGTATACAGCTAAAACTTAATAGCTTTGTTTTCTTTGTTTTTGCTTTTATGGTTTTCTTCTCTTGAAGCAAGCGAGATTAATTACATACTTAGAATAATGATATCAAAATATCTTTTAAATAGATTTATTTAAGTAAAATAAACATGAATGTTTAAAAGAAAACTACTAAGGTGGGAATGTAAATTAGTATAGCCATTATGCAAAACACTGTAAAAATTTTTCAAAAAATTATAAATGCAACAACATATGATCTAGCAATCCCACTACTGAGTATATATTTGAAGGAAATGAAATCAGTAGAAGAGAGATCTGTACTTCCACGTTTATTGCAGCATTATTTTCAGCAGCCATGATATAGAATCAACTTAAATGTCCAGTGGATGGATGGATGGTAGATGGGTAGATAAAGAAAATGTGGTCTATATACAATAGAATACTATTCAGCCTTTTAAAAGATCAAAATCCTGTCATTTGCAAAAATATGGATGAACCTGTAGAACATTAAGTGAAATAAGCCAGGCACAGAATGACAAATACCACATGATTTTGCTCATGTGGAATCCAAAAGATTTGATCTTATAGAAACGGAGAGTAGAATGGTGGTTTATAGGGACTGTGATGTTTGGGGGTTGCGGGGTGAAATGATGTTGGTTAAAGGATATAAACTTTCAGTTAGGAATAAGTCTGATATTCTCTTATTTTGTAGTTTTAAGATCAAGTTTGCACAACTTGATGACTATAATTAACATTATAATGTATTCTTGAAAAACGAGTAGATTTAGGGTTCTTGCTACAAAAATGATAACTATGTGTGATAATACATATGTCAATTAGCTAGATTTGATCATTATATAATGTAAACATTGTACTTGAAACACATACTGTTACCCCCATCATCATCTCTAATAGCTGTCAGGAAACTGAAATACAGGCTACTGAAATTCTGTCAAAGTCACAGGGGAGAGCCAGGGTATAAGACCAAGCACTCTGTCCCAAAGCATGTGTGTCAGCTATTATGCCAGTGGGTCCGAAAATGTCAGTGCTGGATGTTTCAGAAACACTGTCTCACATTTTTCTCCTGTCTTTGAAGGTCCAGACGCACCTTACCTGGCACCATGTCCCTCAAGATGTTGTTTTCCTTATTCCTATTGCTACTAACTTTTGTGCCAC